CTCCGAGGCCTCTTCACCGCCGCGAGCGCCGAGCGCGTCAAGGGCGCCATCGACGACGCCCTGTCCAAGGGTGCCAAGATCGTCGCGGGTGAGAACAAGCTCGAGGGCAACGTGATCCAGCCGTGCCTGCTGCGCGACGTGACCGACGACATGCGCATCTACCGCGAGGAGATGTTTGCGCCCGTCTTCAGCGTCCTCACCTTCTCGGACGACGCCAAGGCGATCCACTACGCCAACGACCACGAGTACGGCCTGTCTGCGGCCGTTTTCACGAGCGACATTGACCGCGGCCTGCGCCTCGCCGACGAGATCGAGTCGGGCGCGGTGCACATCAACGGCGCGACCGTGCACGACCACGGACAGGTGCCGCACGGTGGCACCAAGTCGAGTGGGTACGGGCGCTTCAACGGCGCAGAGGGCGTCCGGTGCGTCGAATTTTCTTGCTCTCGCTCTCGGGGGGGCTGAGGGCGAGGCGGAACTGACGAGCGTGTTTCGGTCTTTGCGCGCAGCGAGTTCACGCAGATCAAGTCGGTCACGGTCAACGCGACGCACGCGAGCTACCCCGCACCGTCGTCGTGAGCGAGTCGACGGCGCGGGAGGAGCGAGTTGTTGTGACGGGCGGGGACACGGCCGCGACAGGGCCCTCCTCGCGCCTCGTTGTACTGATATAGCAATCGGGTCAAGTTCCGGAGTCTGGTCTGTGTATGTGTGTGCGTGAGCTCGCAAGGACGTCGAACCCTGGAACCTTTGTGGAAAAGAAGGGGGCGAACAGCGGCGGAGCGATGCTTCACGAGGGAGTCGGGGTGAGGACGCGCTCGCGCGGGGACTTGCGTCCGTTAGCCCGCTCGGTCAGCCATGCACTACTGCAGCGTGTTCTCCCAGGATGGAACAAGCAGAACACGCGCGTTCGTTCGTCTCGCCAAAGACTCTCCGGGGCGAGTGGAGGAAGCAGACCTCGCTGCCCCGGCAAGCTCGCTGTGAGTTCAGGCAATGCCTTGACGAGCTCTCGAGCACCGAGTGCAGCCCTGCTGCACTCGATCCGCTGCCCAAGGTGAGCGACCCCGCTCCCCCTTCCCCGAGCCTTCTGGGTGAACCGCTCGAGCCTCTGTTTCGACCAAGTCACCCTTCCTTTCTCAATCCGCCTGAGAGTAGTCACAGGGTCTTGCCAGGGTGTCCGGGCGCGCCGCCAAGCAGCCCATCTAGTACGCCGAGGTCGACAGCGACGTCGACCTCTCCTCGGGAGACGACGAGCTGATGAGGAGCTTGAAGGGCGACAACTCCCCCGCGGCGCCGCATAGAGACGCGGTGGCGGACCAGAGGGGCAAAGGAGACACCTACGGAGCCCGTGAGTCCTTCTACCAGCGCTCGAGAAGGCTCCCCTTGATCGCGCGCCAGGGCTCGCTCACCGGCCCCACGCGCCGTTTCACTCGACTGCACCTCCCGCAGACAAGCCGGCTAAGAAGAAGGCTCGGCTCTCCAAGGAGAAGGAGAGCAAGGCCAAGCAGTCCAAGGAGCCCTCGCTCGACCTCGACCTCCTCCTCGCGCTCCCTTTTGACGCGCTCTCCGAGGTGCGGCCCGTGGCCACACTCCTTCGAAGGGCGGCTTGGTGACCGGGCCGCCTACTCGCAGATCTGCTCGCACCTCCAGCTCGGCGACCTTGTGCAACTGGCGAGCACGTCTCGCGCGCTCCGCCAGCTCCTGCTCAGCCCCTCCGCCGGCCGCCAGCTCTGGGCCCGCGTCCGCCGCGAGAGCGGGTACGTCGTGCCCGATGGCATGGACGACATCTCGTTTGCGCTCCTCTTGGAGGGCAAGAACTGCCAGGTGCGCACGAGCGTGGCTGTAAGCTCGCCTCTCCCTCGCTCACCGGCTTCGTTGCACCGCGACAGGACTGCGGCGCGTCGAAGTCTACGACAACTCTCCGCCACCTGCGCGTGCGTCTCTGCAGGCTGTGCAAGAAAGAGCGGTGCGTATCACTCTTCCTCGCGGACATGGCTCACTGCTGACCTTGCCACTCTCAGCATCATCAAGCGCCGCGACGTGCCCAAGGACATGCCGCACGTGCACAAAGCTGCCGCCTCATGCGTCCGCTCCGAGCCCGGTGAGAGGCTCTGGCACCGCCCGACGGCGTTGCGGTCTTACTGACTGCTTTCCTTTGGGCTGGCGACAGACTACCACGAGCGTGAAGACCGTGAGTTTGTCGTGCTTGCCTGCCGCGGCTTCCGCGAGCTGATCAAGCCTCAGCAGATGCGTACTGCTTCAAGACTGACCTCCAAGAGATCGACGAGCGTCTGCAGGAGCTCGAGGAGGACGACGAGCGGGCGCGCGCCGAGAACGAGCGCCTGTGTTGGACCACCAAGTCTCGCCGTGGACGCCTCGGCTCGAAGAAGGATCTCGCCGACGCGGGAAACGTTCAGCGCTTCGTTGACGCGCAACAGGCCGTGTTTGCCGAGGAGCAGGCGGTGCGTCTGGTCGCGTGTCTTTCCCTCCCTCGCGAGCACCCACTCATTCTCATGCTTCACGGCGTCAGCAAATGAACGCGGCGCGCAAGGTCAAGCAGGCCCTCATCGAGCAGCGTACCGCCGAGAAAGCCGAGATTGAGCGCAAGAAGCGTGACGAGTGCGTCACATCTCCCTCGAGTGCGACTGCCACCCCTCGCACCTTGCTCACGCTGCCCATACACAGGTTCGAAGCCGCCCTTGTCGAGCACCACGGCTGGACGGAGGAACAAGTCAACGCGCACTCTCGACGCTTCGGCTGGCGCCATCAGCCGCCAGCCCAGTGCCCCAGGGCCCAGCCGCACGTCAAGCCGGATGGTGCGTTTCGCCTTGGGTCGAACGTTGCAGCAATGCACTCTGACGACTTGCTGCCGTTCGGTGCTTGCACCAGCGTGGCGCGCCTACCGCGACGCACTGCAGGTTGTGCTCGACAACGACGCCGCCGAGCGTCGCGCCGCTCCTGGTCGCGCCCTCCGCATCCACTTCTTTCGCGACAAATTCAATCTGATCGACGGGACAGACCCTCGCTTCAAGGGCATCTTTCCCAGCTTCGACAGGTTCAGGAAGCTTGACCCGATCAAAGCGCTTTGGTACCCCGAGGACGCCCAGCTCGACGGGTCGACCTGGCCGACGCAGGAGCCGCTCGTCCTGCAAGTGCTCGAAGAACTGGCCGATTCGACTCGCGTGAACGCGATCCGCGCCATCCTCGCTGCCAACTCGGGCGAGGCCCTCTCGACGCTCTCGACGGACCCAGCCGACTACCCCGACGACGAATACGACGACGCCTTCTTCCAGCAAATCACTTCGCACTTTGTCGTCGGGAGGTGGACTCTGGTGCCGCGCGGCCGCCGCTTGCGCCGCACCATCGTCAACACGCCCACGGCCTTCCCCACTGTCCTGGGTCACATGTGGGGGACCTGGTACAGCAATCACGGCGCAGACCCGTTTGCCTCCAAGTTGACGCCCCGCTACGTGTCGGCCCTGCGTCTCATCCTCGACGCCGCCGAGCTCGATGAAGACGCGACGCCCTCGACCCTCGACAACCTCGGCCCGACCTTCTCGGTTGCCCGGCAGGGCAAGACCATCGCGACGGGCAAGACGTGGATGCAGACGGTGCGCGCACTTTTCCAGCTGGCGAGCGACGTTTGCTCACTGGACGCGACGCGCTCGGCAGGTCGAGCTGCTGAGGAAGGTCGGCGGGACCGACAAGGAGCTTGGGGCCGGCATCGACGTCTCGGTCACGCACGAGGACGCCAAGGGCAAGGAGAAGGGGGCGGTGTCGGACTTGGAGGGCGAGGGCGAGGGCGAGAGCGAGGACGGGGCCGATGGGTCGGAGTAGCGGGAGGCCCGGGGACAGACGAGGTGAAGGGGAGGAGGCTTGTTGGCTGCTTGTCGCGCTTGTTGTCGCCTTTCGTTCTGGCTTTGCACTCGCTTGATCGTCCTTCCTACGTGCCAAAGCCTTCCTACGTGCCAAAGCCTTCCTACGTGCCAAAGCGAGGTGAGCAAGTTCAGTGGCCCTTGCCTTGTCTCTCCGCTCGGAAGAGGCTCGTCCCTTGCGCTCCTTCTCCTCACTCGATCGCTCGCCTCACATGGGGCCGGTCGCTCGCCTCACATGGGGTCCGCTTGCGCGGCGTCCATTCGGCTCCCGACTAGCGCCTGGTGACCACCTGCTGTGCTGCGTTGCCGCAAGCGCACCCTTCGCTCATCTTCGCACCACTCCGCTCAACCCTCCGTCACCAACTCAAGCTCGCCCGCCGCAGGACGGGTGGGGCGGGCGGGCCCCATAATATAGCCAGCGAAGCTACATCTGCGGGTGCCCCCATCGTCTACTCCGATCCCCCCTGCCGAGAGTTGACAGCGCTCGAACCTCCGCCCCCGCGTCTTCACTGAGGACCCTCAAGCTGTCGACGCTCGGCCGCCTCTCGGCGCACGCCTCGTACGGGTTGGTGACCTCTCTGCGAAGTAAAATAAGACACAGGGAGCCGGCCCTTGTCGCCTTCGCGAGCGAACGCCGGGTGCGTCGTCTCGCTCGGGCGTCTTCGTCGCGCGGTGCCCGGCCAGGTGCCCAGTGCTGCCAGTCGATCACCCCGACCGTACGGGCTTTGGCGGTCTGCATTGTTCGAGCGGCACAGAGGCGGCGCGTCTCTGGCCGGGGGCTCAGCGTCGTGCCGTCGGGACGACATGGGCCGTCGCTGCGGGTGCTCGGGGGGTAGCGCGAAGGCTTCGCCGCACGGCAAGGATGACAAGAGCGTGACGACGCACTCGGCGTACTTGCAAAGGCGCTGACCTGGACTGCGGCGCCGCACGCTCGCAGCTTCCTCTCACGGACTGGCTTGAGGGGGCCCGACCGCGCTTTGACCTCGCCCTGCGGATCTGCGCTCAGCACTCGCTCGAGAGGTGTGCCCGGCCCTCCCCCTTTCGCCACCCTGGGCCGTAGTTCACGACGGCATGCAAAAGGTAGACCTGCCGCCCGATCCACCCGGTGAGGGACGGCGGCAAAAGATGTGACGTCTGTGGGATTCGAACCCACGCCCTTTCGGATTAGCGGACACTTGCTTCTAGAAGCTGTGAACCTGAAGCTAACGCCTTAGACCACTCGGCCAAAACGCCTCTTGATGGAAAGAGGTGAAGCATGTTGTGCTTATATAGCTTTGACGGCGGTCTGTGCGCACAACCTTGTCACGACTGAACGCTCCGCCCTGGGTGCACTCAGCAGTAGCGTGAAACCGTTCCTCTTCACGACAAAGACCCGGCGGAGCAGGACAAGGCGAGGCCAGGGCCCGGGCGCCGTGCCGGGCGCGCCTCCTCTCGAGCGCCAGCACAGTGCTCCAGCAGCTACCGGGCGCGAATGTGCGAAAGAGCAGGCCGCTCTCACGAGCACACACAGAGGGTGCGCAGGAGACAACAGACGAGGAACGGCGAGCACCGCCGTAAGAAGGGACAACAGCGTCTACAGCAGCCTGGCTCCTCCTAACTAGCGACCACCGGATCCAACGACTTACCTCCTGTCCTTGCGCTTCTTCTTGTCGCGCTTGTCGTCGCTGTCGCGCCCGCTGCGCTTGGACGCCGCCGCGCCGGCGACGTACTTCTTGCCCGTCGCGATGCGCTCAAAGATGCGGCGCGCCTCGCAGTCCGGGAACGCCTTGGTGTTCTTGAAGTCAAAGTAGGACGCGCCAAACTCCCACAGCCTTGGTGCATGCGGTGCGGCGCGAGCACAGGGAGTCAGCCACTGCGAGATGCGAGATGCGAGAGAGAGAGAGACAAAGGGAGGGCGACGCACCACTCTGGCCTCGTCTCGGTCACGGTCCGGATAAAGTTGCGCGTCGTGAGCACAAACTCGTTGTAGATGACCCACTCGGGGTTGTGGTCGAGCCCCGTCGACGGGTGCAGGCCGACGACCTGCAGGTCCTTGATCGTGAGGTACCCGTTCTTGTCGCCCTCGCGGTGCGCGACCTGCATGAAGAAGCCCGCCGTGAGGGCGCGCTGGATGTTGAGGTAGTACGACTTGTCCTCGAACGCGGTCGAGACGAGGTCGCTGCAGGATCGCGGGTTCAGAGCAGAACAGAGAAGATGGGTCAGCAGCGAAAGGGGAACGAGCGGGCGGAGAAGGCGGGGGCGCACAGGTCCATCTTCTCCATGGATCTCTTGAGCTGGTTGCGGACGTTGTCGGCCTGCTGCATCGCGCGGTGCGACACGTAGTTGTTCCAGCACCAGTTGGCATCAGGGCCTGCAGCAGGGAGGGTCGCAGCGCGCACACTCCAGAGTCAGCACGCGCGCGTCGACACGAGCTCTCGAACGACGAAGGAAGTCGGACGCACTGCCCTTGTACGCGTGGTACAGGTTGAGGAGCGACAAGTGGTCGCCACTCGGGTGCGCAAACTGGGCCTTTGCCTCGTCGGCCTCCTTGCGCTGGCTGTTGGGGCGTAGGTACGGGTTGGGCACCGACAGCATGGCCGCGATCGAGAGGATCTCGTTCGAGCACTTGAACTCGGGCGAGACGATGAGCATCTTTGCGAGCTGGGGCTCGAGCGGGAAGGTCGACATGAGGTCGCCGAGGGGGGTCAGGTCTGCGTCGGGAAGGCGGTCGAGGGTGTCAGCGCGACTGAGGCGAGGTACCCAGAGACCCGGAGACATAACAGAGGACGCACTGCCGTCGTCGTCGAACGCGGCGAGGTAGTTGAGGAGCTCGAGCGCGCGCATGACCGTCTCGGGCGCGGGCGGGTCCATGTAATCGAAATGCACCAGGTCGTCGACGCCGAGCTTCTTGAGCTCGAGGATGACCGACGCCAGGTTGCACCGCAGGATCTCGGGGTAGGTCTGCTCCTCCAGCTGCGGACGAGTGCACGCGTACCGAGAGGACGGGCAGAGTCAGCACGGGGCATGGCAGAGAGAGGCTCCAGAAAGGTAGACGCACCTCCTTGACAAAGTCCGACTCGGTGTACAGGCGGAAGCACTTGCCCGGGCGGGTGCGTCCAGCGCGCCCCGCCCGCTGGTTGGCGCTCGCCTTGGAGATGGGGCTCACGAGGAGCGACTCGACGCGGATGCGCGGGTTGTAGATCTTCTGCTTGGAGAAGCCCGGGTCGACGACGTACACGATGCCGTCGATCGTCAGCGACGTCTCGGCAATGTTGGTCGAGATGACGACCTTGCGACCGGGCGGGCCGTCCGGCGTGCGGGGCGGCGGCGCCTTGTCAAAGATGCGCTGCTGCTGCTGGGGCGGGAGGGACGAGTAGAGCGGGATGGCCTTGAGCGGGCCGAACTGGTGCGGGAGCTGGTCGGCCTCGACCATGATCTTGCGGCACGCGTCCTCGATCTCTTCCTCGCCCGTGAGGAAGACGAGGATGTCGCCCTCGCCCTCGGCTTGGTGGATCATAAGCACTGTCCGGATGGCCGCCTCGAGGTAGTCCGGCTCGGGCTCGGGCGTGTAGAAGCTGCGAGGGCGCGCGAGGGGGCAGGGTCAGCCTGTCTCGCCCTCGAGGTGAGATGAGGCAGAGGCACGCACATCTCGACGGCAAAGGTACGTCCCGGGACCTTGAGCAACGGTGCACCAAAGAAGTAGTTCTGGAACTTTGCCGCGTCGAGCGTGGCACTCATGACGACGATCTTGAGGTCGGGACGGCGGCGCGCGACGTCCTTGAGCAAGCCCATGAGGATGTCGGTCGCGAGGGTGCGCTCGTGCGCCTCGTCGAGGATGACGCACGAGTAGCGCGACAGCATGTGGTCGTTCATCGCCTCGCGGAGCAGCATACCGTCGGTCATGTACCTGCGGGTCGCCCCCGGACGCTCATTAGCTCTCTCTCTCCTGCCTACCCACGCCAAGCCAAGCCAAGAGAGGAGGGAGGACGGGGAAAGGCGACGCACTTGAGGAACGTGTTGGGACTCGTGCAGTCCTCGAAACGGATGCTGTACCCGACCTGCTCGCCGAGCGCGACGTCCATCTCGTCGGCGACGCGCTTGGCGACACTCATGGCCGCGACTCGTCGCGGCTGGGTGCACGCCACCTGCAGGCCGGGCCGGCGCAGGTGCGGCAGGTCGGCATAGGCGACGTACTGCGGGATCCTGTGCGCGCGCGCGAAGTCAGCGGGGTCGAGAGAGCGAGAGAGAGACAGAGCGACGCACTGGGTCGTCTTGCCCGAGCCCGTCTCGCCCGAGAGGACGACAAACTGGTTGGCGTTGAACATCTGGAGAAACTCGTCCATCTGCTGGTGCACGGGGAGCTTCTTGCGCACGGTGAAGATGTCGGCGTAGCGCTTGCTGAACGGCTGCAGCGTGAAGGGGTTGATGTCGCCCGCCTGTTGCGCGCGTCGTGGAGTGAGGCATGGTCAGCATGCACTGTGCGCTTGGCTTGGCGATCGTGCAGCCCTCGAGCGAGCGGCCACACCGGCTGCTCATGGCTCCGCTGGAGCAAGGGGGTCGCGCTCGTCCTCGCCGCCCTCCCCGCGCGAACTTCAGGGACCCGTAAGCTCAGTAGACCACGCACCATGACAGCCTCGACGTCCTTGCCCCCCTTGGTCCTCGGCACCCACCCATCGAACGGCCTCGCCGACGACGCGGGTGCTCCTCCTGCTGCCGCTCCTCCGCCGAGCGCCGGGTCGGCCAAGTGCGCCAGGTACGGGTTGTTGTCGACGTCTGTGCGCGCGCGCTTGGTGCTCGGTTCGCCGGACATGGCGGGCGGGCGAGCGGGCGAGGGTCGGGTGTTGAACGTTGAGGGAGCGCGGACGAGGCTCAAGTGGCGCGGCGCAGCTGGATTGAGCTCAGCGGGAGCGCGGCGAGCCGGCCGGGATGTCCCAAGTCACGCTTCCGCATGTGCCCGTCTGCTGATTTCCTCTTCCGCTCACTGACAATCAAGAAACCGAACGAGACATCTTGCAAAAACGGCGCGCGAAACCGCGGGCGAGAGGAGGGAACGAAAGACGGGCCAGGGCCGCGCGCGACTAGGCAACGCAACACAACAGAGAGGGCACCGTCTGGCGTGCTGAAGGGACACGCCATGGACAGGATAGAAAGGGACGAAGGTGTCGCGACGTCGGGAAGTGCGGACAGCGTGGGACGGGCATGGGAGGGGAGTCGGACGGACGGGCTCGAGCGAGCGAGCGAGCACCGAGGAGCGACCAGCGCCGTTCGGTCGCGCGTGAGAGGGTCCACGTGGCTCACTGCGTGCCGGGACAGGAGGATCAAGACGTCAGTCGAGGTACACGCATGCGAGCGGGTGGGAGAGAAGAACACACAATGCTCGCCGTCGAGTCGACCTCGATCGTCGGCGCTGCGTGTGCGCGTCAGCCCCGCACGAAAGGAGAGAAAGAGAGAGAGAGAGAGAGAGAGAGAAAGAAAGGAAGGAAGCGCACTGATGGTGCTGATGAACTTGAGGAACACGAGCAAGTACTGCTCGACGCGGAGGCCCTCGTCCTCTTCCTCTCCCCCCTCCTGCGCCGTCGCGTCCCTGGCCGCCTCCCTGTCCTTCTTCCTCCCCCCAAGGCCCAACCACCCCCTCGCGCCCTTCCTCTCCCCCTTCTCCTCACCCGCTCCCGCGCCCTCGGCCCTCCTCGCGCGGCGCTGCATCTCCCTCACATTGCCGTCCATGCGTTCAATGACCCTCTTCATGACGCTGCTGTGCCGGCACGGGTGCACGCTCGCGATCGCGAGGTGCGCCGCGTGCGGGAACGGCTCGATCGTCACCGTCTTGAGCGCGTGGTCTGACGAGACGTCGGCGAGGGCCGAGGTCGGCGGGAGGGGTCGCTTGTGCTGCGGGGTCCGGGGCCGGGTCCGGGAGGGCGGGGGAGGAGGTGGTCGTGAGGGAGGAGAGATGGAATGAGGTGAGGGCAGGGAATCAGCTCGGCGCTCACCGCGCTTCGGGAGGTTTCCAAGGACCGCGGCCGCACCTCGTCGTACCCGAGCAGCCACATCCTCGGCGTCTGGTAGTACTTGTCGTACGTGATCATGCAGTCGTACGTCCTCACCTGCATGAGCTTGTCCGACCTTTCGACGCGGGCCAGGGCGGGGCGGGCGGCGGACACGGCAGAGAGTCAGCCTGTGCGTGCTCTCGGCCCTCGACGAGGAGGTGCCTCGAGAGGGGAGAGGGGCGAGGGCAACGCACCGGGAGCTCGGAGGTT